AAGCAGCCCCGCAGCCTCTCTCTGGGATCAAGCTGTCAATGCAAACTTGCATTCTTTCCCTTTTTCTGAGCTAAGTAAGCTCTACCCCCAGAGCTCCCGATGCCTTCCTGAGTGAAAGCTCTGAAAGAGCTCCCTTCTAAATTGCATCACTCGCCCAGCGCTCTTCAAACTGACAGAACAAAAGAGCCAAATTCCAAAAGTCTGGTCTGAGTGACTTGTTAGTTGCGTTGGTTGATTACCTCTTAATGGGCTCTGAGAATGGGCTGTGGTCGTTTTGACGCTGCTTAAGGAAACCTTGCAGAGTTCTTTTCTACTTACTTCCTAATTAAGGTCGATTTGCTTAATCAGCAAAACACACTAAGGGGGGGGGGAGACGCCAGAAGGAAGTTCTTACTACCATCCCCCTCCCCTTCCAATCAGTGGCAATAAAATTACTTGGACCAGGAGTTACAAAAATAAATTCTCATTGGAAAGGACTAAACAGGACTGCTGTGATGTGTGATGTCTCTGTGTGTGTGTGTGTGTGTGTGTGTGTGTATCTTTTTCCCTTCCAGAACTGATGCAACACCAAATAATAGTGTTTCCTTGCCGGCGATTTAGCGCTGTGAGTTCCCAAAGCCTTATTGTCTGCTCCTTCCGCCTGCTTCCCACCCCCCACCCCCAGCCATTAATGAATACATTCAGCCAGCCGGGGTCACTTTATTATTCTGACACATTGAACTGGGGATGTGATTTCCAAGTTCTGAGGCTGACACTGGCAGGGTGAAACTTTCACCTCGAGGTTCCGCAACTGTATACTTGACACACTTGGAAGAATAAATATTGATCTCCTTTCCGAGGATGTGTGGCCATGTGAAATGTTAATGCTTTTAAACGGCTTTGGACATACAAAGCAGCTATTATTACCACTATTATTATAAGGTATAAAATCTCAGAGAGTATCTCATCTTTACCCTTTATCCTCATGATTAGTGCGTCTGTGTTGAGTGCCCGCTGTATTCACATCACTGCTCATGTGACTGGATACGATGATGACATTCACAGACAAAGACACTAATTTTGAGACGCCCCAATAAAGGAGGTAAGGATTATTCTCAACAGTAATGTGTATATGTATTCCGTGGACTTCCAATGACGAATGTTTATTCCCTCACGGGGCCTCGTTTATTATTGGGTTGGGGATTTTCCATTTGTCCTCCCAGGATGATTCATTCTTTTGTATGGAAGGAAGGAAAAGGCCATTTAAAGTCATAATTGGCTATGAAAGTTTGGGGCCCTAAAAAGGTTGGGGTTAATATCTAACCTTTGGTTTGGCAAAAGCACTTCTGGGAAAGTTTAGGTACTAAAAGTGAGATCCCCTCAAGCCTCGTGTAGGAGATAGTCATAGTGAAACTGCTCTGCATAAGAAAAGGTGAAATTTGTGGTTTGGGTGGTACTGGTGAAGCTTGACGGAAATAAGAGTGCAGCAAGATGGCAGGAGGCAAGGGCTCAGCATGGAATAAGGGCCAATGAGAAAGGCCAAGTGACATAGTTAACACTATGGCTGTCTAATAGCTAATTTTAAATTGCTTGCTGGCTGGTGTTTTGCTGATAAAGCCCTCCTCCCCATTGTTTTCTCACTTTTGTAAAACTTTAGTAAAAATCGATTACCCACATAACCTATTGTTGATGGCATTAAGAATAAAGAGGTTGAAATCATATCCCCTGAAACCAGCTGAGGCCCCATGTAGATCTGAGATGTGAGAAGTATTTGCAGTGAGTGACTTGGGATTGCGTATGAGACGATTCCGCCGTTCTCAAGGATTCTAGATACTTGAAGAGAGGGCTGGGCTGCCACCTGAGTTATACATTTGTTTTTCTATTAAGTTATTCATTCAACTAATGTTTATTGAGTATCCACTGTATGCCAGGGACTCTGATGCAGATTGATTGGGAATGCAAAAGAGAGTGGTACTGTTAAGACCCGTGCTTAGTACAGCTTATGGTCGTAAGTAATGGGACGCACGTGTATCTACTTTGCAGCAATTTGGAAATTTATAAGGATCCTTTGTCATCTCCCCACATACTAATGTTTCTATTTTCTTGCCCACTTCTTCCTTCCTTCCTTCCTTTATTTTAGGCAAATTCATTTCTTTATTGGATCTTAGTTTTTCAGATTTTACTCAAGTTGTTATCACATGTAACCTCCCCCCTAGTCACACCTCGCCAAGTCCTCTTTACAGCCTTGGATATCCTCAGCCTGAAGAAACCTCACATTTTTCTGATTTAATTGGACTGGAGTTCAGTCGAAGCATCACAGTTTGTAACAACTGCCAAGATGATTCTAGTGTGTAGCCAGGGTCGAGAACCAATGTCTAGAAGTGTGCACATAAAATCTTATTGGTACAGTTTCCTATGATTGCATTTTGCAGCAGCATTTCTCAGTTCCTTTATATTTTCTTCTATCCCCTATCAGAGGAAAAGGGACCCTCCTCCTTTTAAAGATAACCTTCTGCCTCAGGAGTTTGCGTCTCCTTCTCTTTCTCCATCCATAGGAAGCATCTGTATTCACCATCATCCTCTTTCCCTGTATTTTCACTCTCTCTACTGACTCCATCCTGCCTTTGCGTGCTTGCTTAGGTACACCATAGCCTGAAAATCCTTCTTAAGCTAATTTTTCCATCACCCAATTCCTCAGAGGAGTCCTTAACGCAAGCGATTTTACCATCTACTCATTCCTTAATCCTTCACAATTGACTTCCATCCCCACAGAAGTAAAACTGATCTTTCAAAGCCCGTGCGGTAAAATACATGCTGGCTGCTTAATACATGTTGGTTGAGTGAATAAATGAATGAATATATGACTTTCTAATCATCAAATCAGTGATCTTGCATCAGTTTCCCTCCTCCTTGATAACATGGCTTAGCAGGCCCATGACTCTGTCCCTGTCTTCTTTAGCATAGAATGCTGCTGTTTTTTTTTCTCTTTCTGTTCTCATGTTTCTTCTATGACCCCTTGGTTGGCCACTTTGCAGCATTACACAGGCTTATGAGTTGTGGTGGTAGATAAACTTGGCGTTCAAATCAAGTCCCTGCCACTTCGTAGCTGTATGACTTGGGACACATTGCCCACCTCACTAAGTCTCATGTCTTCATCCATAGAGAGGAGATGGTAATAACATTGTTTTAAGGTTGATGTGATACTTCAGTGCCATTGCAAAGTCACGAAGCGTTCAGTTAATGTTAGTGGGTGTTCTCATTCCAGTGGTTATAAGTCCCTCTGGGCAGTCACCATGCCATTTTTTCCACCGCTCTATTCTGTCCTCAAAACCTACAGTGTTTGGCTCAGGGTCCTTGAAAAAAAATTAGTTGTGAATGAATGAGCCAGTGCATTGCTTCTCTTCTCTTAATGGATGATCCTTCTCAAAGCTTTGCCTTAGGCTCTCTTCACTCTTTCCCTTGCTGACCTCATTTATTCCCTGATGACCTTTTGACCTCATTCATTACTTCACTTCTCGTCTTCATGTAGATGACTGCCACATCTCACCTGAAATCCGACTCTGCTTGTTGCGATCTCCATATCCAGATGTGTTGTCTTTAAGACACTTTGCAAGCAAACATCCCTAAAGGCATTTCTTTGATATCTTAAAATCCCTCATACTCAGAAAAGAACTTGTTTTTCTTCTCTCTCCCTAACTCTTATTGTTCATTTATATATATTCATTATTATATATGTTCATTATATGTATTTCGAATAACCTCCTATATAAAATATATTTATTTAGGCTATATATTTGTTTAATTTATATATACATATACACCTACAAAATATAAGTATTTATCTATGTAACGACCTCCAAAGAGTTCTACCTGCCTATTTGTTTATTGGCTTGAAGATAATCCCACCCACCTGCAAAATGTTATTCTTCCTAACGTCTCGCTCAGGGTATTGGCTCTCTACCCCACTGACAACCAAAAATAACAAGACCATTAATTTTTAAAAGTTCACACTCCTTATCCTGCCAGTGTTATTTTGGTCATTATTTTGATCAAAAACTTCCTTCTGTGTAAACAATATTTATTTATTAGACAAGCAACATGTAGATAAAATTTTATTGTGGAAAAAAAAAGAGCTTAAGTGATACGGAAGTGTAAAAGCAAAGGAAAATTCCCACCTCACTCCTGCTGCTTGCTTCATTCTTACTACTCTTTATGGAGGTTGTTCCTATTTTCAGTTTGGGATAACTCATTTCTAGACCTTTTATCTACATTAACGAACATATGCATGTCTGATTTTTACTTAATGTAAATGGGCCGTACTGTATTTGTCAGTGTGACGCTGGATTTTTTTTTCCCCTCATTAATGCGTCTTGCTCATTTAGCCCTGCCTCTTCCTGAAGAACTGGGGCACAGTATTGCCTCCTACCGGAGAACCATGATGTATTTAGGCAGACTTTCATTGCTGAATGCTTAAAAGCTACCTTGCTATTTATTCCCCATTCTTCTGTGTCATCTTTTCACTAAGCGAGAAAGCACGTTTCAACTTTTCTGTCTTGGCCTCTTTGTACATGCCTAACAGTGAAACTTCTACTTATGCCCCCAAACCCAGCTCAGATGTTAATTATACATGGAGTCCTCTTTGCAAATTCCAGCTTCAAGTGATATCTTTGAGAGATTCCTTGGTCCTTCGAGGACAGAGACTGAGGTTTTTGTCATCCCTCAAAGCTGAACATAGGGTCCTAAACATAGACTCTGAATCCATGTATTGTATAAATGAATACATGATTTTTAAACTTTTGTTGACCTAACATGTATGCAGAGATAGGGTATAAGCACCTTCAAGGTAAAAACTGATTGCAGTATGCCTTGAATAATGCAGATGTGCGATGATGTGTGTGCCGGTGCTGTGGCCACTATACTGTGGATGTAGACAAAGATGGAGTCCTTCCCTTATCATATTGCACCAAAAGTACCCATTAGCCAGTATAGGAAGCTATTACAAAGAAATAAAATGAACTTACCAGGGTCTTCCAGAGGATTTTGAATTGAGCTGGATGGTCCTAAAAGAAGGGAAATTAAAAATAATTATTTGAGTGGATATCCATTTTTTTGCCTTTCCAGGATCCCTTTACTCCCTTTTTCAGGAAAGAGAAACCCACTTTCCAACGGAGGACCTATTCCATGTAGCTTGAGTGGAATGGTCTTGTCTATCAGTGTTCCACGTACAGAGACATGGTAACCCATGTCCTCTGTTTCCCAGCCATAGAGGTTTGTTGTGGGATGGCTCTAAGAACCAGGCAGTACCAATCAGGTTGCTCCCTGAGGCTTGAGATTAGCCTGCTGGAAGTGAGTGTTCTCTCCTCCTTTGTGGGGTAGAAAGATAATGTAGGCTTGTGACTGACAGAAGCCATCTTTCCTGCCTTGTGTAAAAAGCCTGAGAATAAAGCCAAAACAGGGAGCCAAACAGCCAAGAAAAAGTAAAGGCAAGGTACTGAATTCATCATTTGGGTCCCTGGATTCACTTACATCTGAAGCTCATCTACTCCTGGACATCCTAGATACGGGAATCTACAAATTCCCTTTACCTATGCTAGTTGGCTTTCTGTGTTCTATAATGGAAAGAGGCCCACGACATTATATAGGAGGCTTTATTCATTTTAAATATTTCTTCTGACTGTTGTTTCCTTCCCATCTCTCTTTAGAGGATGTATGCTGATGAAATTTTCTAAATTCAATTGTTTAATCTCTGCTTTCTAACTCCCAAAACGTTCACAGAGTAGAAATGTTAAATTATGTGGAGGTATGCCAAAAATGACCTACGAAAATGGATTAAAATTGGAGGCTGGATCTTATGCTAAAATAACTGATAAGAAATAAACTGAGGTGTGGTTTCTGCTAACCTGGTCTTTCAATCAGTTCTGTTCAATTTATATGAGTGAGAAGAGGGGACAAAAATTTATGTGTATTGAGTTTCTACTCAATTTCTTTCATGAAATTTACCCCTTTCATGTAGATATTGTGATCCTGACTTGGAAGATTTTTTTAAAATCCAGATGATTTTCAGAGTTTCATTCTTCTCCAAGGTCACTAGTTAGTTAGGCATGGTCGATTTAAGGTTAGGATCCAGTTGGGTCTGACCTGAGCCCTCCCTCTCCACCATCGGGAATGCCGTACAATTAGGAAGAATGTTGACCCTTTGATCTCAAAGCATATTTCCAACAAGTCAACTGCTTTGACATTCATAGCTTGGCATTATTGTTTTCAGGAAAATTATGTTCTGGGGAGGAGTGTATTGCTATATAGGGAGTTTGAGATTTGAATTTGGAGACATGAATTCTAGTCTTGTGATTTGTTTCCAGTAAAGAGCTCTGGGATTATGCAACTCAGTCTTTTTAGATCTTAGTTTCCTCCTCTGTCAAATAAAAGATATGAGGGCTGATCACCTCTCAAGTCTGTCCTAGTCCACTTGTACTGGTCAGCGCTTTCCAGAACCCTATACCTCCAATAGGAGAGATGGTAACACCTTGTGTTATGATTATATGCTATATGCAGTGATGTCTTGTTTAGTTCAGTATTTCCCAGCAATGAGCCCAGCGTATGGCAAATAATAGATGATGAATAAATATCTGTTGAATAAATAAATGAGGGAAGGAAGTCTATTTGTGTACAGAATACTACTTTTTATATATTTTTTTCAACTGACCAAAGGAGTGATCTTTGAAATTGCAGAAAATACCTCTAATTTTGCTGGTGAGAAGTAAAAATAAGCTAATGGTAGATTTGAGTACTACAGCGTTCGATCCATCACTGTGGATTTTAAAGAGGACTTTCCTTTAATTCAAAGCTCAAGATAAGCAAAGAGTTAACTGAAATTTTTCAAATGGAGACGTACTTTAAAGTACAGAATGGTCATTTTAGGTGGCCATTGTAATTCAGCTTTTAAGGCTTGGTAGCTGAGCCATCTTGGTGAACCTTCTGTGTGAGTGAAGTTTTCCTTAATCGGCTTTTCCTATATTATTTCATCCTGGGAAAGAAAAGCAGTAGCTGAGCCAGAGACAAGCAGGATAACAAAAAAAGGAGTCTGTGGCCAAAGCAACAGAATTACTTTTCTTTTCTTTTCTCTCTCTCTCTTTTTTTTTCCCTTTCACTTGTGTGTTTATAAAGGAGAAGTAAGAAACATAATTTTTTTGTCTTTGTTTAGACATTGGACAATACAAATCACAAGAACATTTATTTTTGGCATCCTATTTTTTAGGTGTTCTTTGGGATTTGGACCCTACTTTAAAAATATGTGTTTCCTAGCCCTCCTTACTGTGAAAATCCTTGGCAATGTAAACAGATGCACTGGTTGGCTTTTAATTCTGACACCAGACTGTCTGAAATAATAGCTCTAAGAAAGTGTGAATTCTTTCATTCCTCAATCTCTAATTATAAGTACTTAATTTGTTTCTCTTTCTACTGCTGACTATCATACCAATCTGGTTTATTTTTTATCTGGCTAAACATGGTACACCTTAGAAGCCCCTCATTTTGAAAAGTTTATTCTGCATGGGAAGACAAAAACAAGCTAAAAGTTTGAGTTATTTTCATATTCCAGGTCACATCACTGTGACAACTAAGATGTTAAGTGGTGTTCTAAAATTTTGAGTAATATAGGCCTTTAAGATGACAGAATTAGGAACTTGATAAGCAGTTTGAAAACACTGAATGTTTCTCATAAAAATTGACTCATCATTTGAAAAATGAGCCAAGTTAATAGCTTACTAACTCATCCTGACCTTTCACAGTCAAAGATATTCTTCATTTTTGTGTCCACCATTTTTTACATCTTATAACCAATTTGCTGTCACATCATTTTTAGCCATGGGACTGACTGTGGTGATACTGACTTCTGTAATTAGATGAGGTACCATATATGGCACATTAGCCAAAAAAGTCATCAGTTGCTGGAAGTGGGAGCATTTTTGAAGAATTGCTAGGTCTGAGCTTTCTGAATATTGTCATATTTCCACTTTTAAAAGTTCACTGTGTTGAGATGTGTTTTTATTTTTCTAAGGGCAAAAATAAGATCAAAGAAAGACAGATCCTTGCTGGAACTCATGATAAACATAATGAAGAAAGTCTTATGTTGTTCCTCCAGTTGGTTTCTTTCCAAGTTTATCTCTACATATGCATTTACATTTTGAGATACTTTCATCATTTATTTTGGAGCCTAATACTAAAGATGTTAAATCTCCTTTGTAAATATGATGGAAAGAATGATTATGGTTAAAATGTAATGTGCTTTAATTTAGGTTAGGAATTGTCAAGCCATTATTATTATTATGTCACTTTCATTCTCGTAACAATCCTGTAAGTTATTATTATTACTATGCTCATTTTAGAGGTGAGGAAACTGAGATTTTATCCAAGTTCACAGAGGCAGGAAGCTGTGGAAGCAGGGATTTGAACCCAGGAAGGGTTCCTGCGCTGCTGCTAGACTTTACTACTATTAATTTACCTAATGTTTTACACACATGGCCCCATTTAATCCTTCCCCAAAACCATTAATATAAGGACTATTATACACCCATTTTATGGATGGAGAAAGTGAAACTCTGATAACGGAATTTGCTCAGAGTCACTCAGTTTGCCCATCTCACTAAGTAGGCGAGATCAGCTTGGAAGTGAGGTCTGCTTGATTGCAATAAGCCTGTGCTCAAAACCTTTATTCTAAATTGCATAATAACGTTTATCTAGGGCTTCAGAGTTTACTATCTAAATCTAGTAGAAAGCACCAAAAAATTCTTTGGTGTGCAATGATTGAGGTAAACTATTTTAGGTGCCAGAAAGACTTTAAGATAAAGGTAAGGGCCAGTGAAGTAACTGCTGTTTTTGATTTTTTTTTTTTTAACAGTGATGAAAAGGAGTCTTGGGGGATACGTATTTCCGGTGGTAAAAGCAGAGGCTGGGGATTTGGGCTCCTGGGTTATCTTCCTAATTCCCTTTCACATGACACATCATCTAATTCATTTGCCTCCAATTTATCTCCCCTAAAATCAAGTTGGTCATGATAACATCTCTTCAGGAACTGTGGGAAAAAATGATGGTGACGTTCTCTTGACCTTTTTGCGAAAAATGCAACCACTCTTTTGTCCATTTTTTACTTTTTTCCCATGAGTCAAAAATTTGTTTATGTGGAATTAGAGTTTTGAGAATATGAAGTCTCAGTGGCCATTGGGTTCATGACCATGCTTTAGGGCAATAGCTCGCACAGCCATGATAGCTTCTAAGTTGTTTCCTGTTTTTCTTGGTCTTACTGCAATCCTTGCCAAAGCTTCCCTTCTCCTCTGCTGCATTAGTAATGCAAAATGAAATTCATTGTGCCCATTATATCTGTTAAATGGTTTCCATTTTAACTTGAGAAAAATGTATTGACGTTCATGTGTTTGGCATGGAAAGTGTGTATATCTATCGAAGATAGCAACTTGTCTGTTGGAATTACAGTGCATTATGTATAATGCTGCTTTTAGCTGTGCATGTACATTTCCTGGAATCTTATTGTGTCAGAGCTTGGAAAGTTTACACAAGCATTGGTAATCTAATTTTTGTCTGGTGGGTGGCTGTGGAAATATGGAGTATTTAAAAAAGCAAATGTCTTGGCCATCTGTGCCAGGCAGGGGTGTCTAGTCAGGTGGGGTAAAAGCACTCATCAAAAAAAGGTTTTAAAAATATTGCCCCAGGTCTAACCTAAATATTAATTTCCCAAGAGCAGAAAGATGTAACAGTTACTGTAACATGGTTTTGAGCATATTTCTGGTTATTCTTTTTAGGCGTTCTAATTGTAAGGTGGAGGAATCTGTTTTATCTTTCTCCTGCCTCTTAACAATATAATCCTTCTCTAGACTATATTGTTTCCTATGTCTTTTGTCTTCTGCAGACATGAGTCTTTGGCTCATGAACATCTTGTTAAGGTCTGTTGAGGATTAGGGGCTGTGATACAATTTCCTTGCGGAGTCTTTTGATTGGAGATTTTTCATTTGGTTTGTCTTGGAGGTCTTTGAAATGTCTTCTCTCAAGC